GTAAGAGGCGACTGAAAGAAACTGACAACTAAAAATCAAAATCATAAAAAATGCGGTTGTCAACCCGCGTGCCAAACGTGGATACTACGACAAAATCCCCCTATGAGACAATCTATGGAGGAGGTAATGTACAGCAGTTGATTTTTATAGGCTGTAATGGGTGATGGACGGATGATTAGAACTCTAAAAAATATCAAAGCCCACTAATGTTGCTATGTTCTTACAAAGAACATTAAAGATGTTAATGTTATTAATATAATGGATTTGCACAAAGTAACGCATGATTCTGTAAATTATTTTACACAGGGCTTCAAATATTTTTACTACTATCTCATGCACGAAGATTCTATATTTAAAAGAGTCATTCGAAAACTTCCATAGCGTGATTTAGGTTTTTATTATACTTGCAACGAACAGTATATTCAGCCGCACTCCGAATACCGAATATTCTGCGGAGTTCCTGGCCGAACAGCCAAATATTAGGCAAAAGTATTCGGCCGGGAAGGAAGTATATTCAGAACGTCTTTCTCAGAAGCTGGGATTGTCTATGAGAATAAAAGGAGTAAACTACTGCCTGATAACAATAAAATTCGTCTTTCTGCACTATTATCTTCCACACAATTATGGTAATTCGTGTGCATAGAAATTTATCTGAAAGTTTTTTTTTTTTAATTTTTATAATACGGACGTTGATTATGTACCCATGACTACTTTAATGATGACAAGAAATAGACATTATTATAAAATAAATCAATATTTTACAAATTATTTGACTGCAACAAAACCTCTTACTTAAGTATTCAGTATTCGGCTGAATAGGATAGAAGTAGGCAAATAGGCCGAATACCGAATAGTAGCCGAATATTTGTTGCAAGTATTTTTATGCTGTCATTGTAATATCGGACACAGTATTTGAAATTAAATTATCACCTTTTGACATTTTCGCTTAAGGTTGATGGTTGGACTTTGGTGTTGAAATTTGTCTGCAACACCGACATACTAGACTCGCACTGTGATTGCACGTTGTTCTTCTCCAATAGTGGTCGCTTGCTTGGGCTGAAAAATATATTTTTTTAAAGGATAAGGGTGACAAACGAGGACACAGTCCACCTGATGGTAAGTGGTTGCTGCGACCCATAGACATCTACATCTATCCTCAATAAAGAATAAAAATGCAGATGCGTTGTCACCCGTGAAGACTAAGATGGAATGCCTCTTTTCCAGTAAAAAGGGTCTCCGGTTCTCTACACTCACCATACGAAACACAGCAATGTTAAGCTGCTATTTTAACGCTGGTATTCTGTGAGAGTGTGGTCCTTCTACAATCAAGCCGACTCATTCGTGCTACAACTATACTACTAACATAGCTGCAGCATTGCTCTAACACGCATAAATTATTTTCAATTATTAACATAGTTATGAATTGTGTAGTGACGGTGTTAAAACACCCACCCACCACCCAATATCATACCGTGGTATTATAGGTTTATAGGAGGCCTCATAGGGGTTACCCTTTTACCCTGTTACCCTTTAGTTATAAAGAGATGGACAATAGCATCTTCCTGATAACAAATCAAAATAATAAAACTGTTGTTACCAATACACCTGTCAAGTTTGGCAACTATGGCAGATTTCAATTAATTAGTAATTCATTAGAAGTTTAATTAGCAATATAATATAATAGTAATAATACTAATGAAGTTACAAAGGCATTTCACCTTAATGATTTGCAGTGATAACGTATCTGTGCCCTAGACTGAATCTACTAAAATAATAGTTGGTCAATTAATATACATCTGCGGACAAATCACTGAAGTATTACGTTTACGGCTCTCACCTGCACGGGTCGTTTTGCTCTTCTGGATGGATTTTGTCGAATTTATTGATCCTCTGCAGTAGCGACATGCTCTCATTTACATCTTCGCTGTTTTGGACCATGGATTTTACAGGAGTACTGTGCTCTTGCTTGGTTGGGAATCTTAAAAAAATAAAAATTAATTAGAACAAAGGAGTTCTGCAGCATATGGTGTAAAAAACGTATGAAGTATCACCAATCTTTTTCTCTATTCTCACAAGTTCTCCCGTAGTAGCTACTTGTTGAAGAGATGACGTAGTTTTGTTCCAAAAAGTGCTTTGTAAAAGCAAGTTTTAAATAAAAATAAACAGGGGGTTTATTCTTTACTTATTTCTATTACACAATATTCTGTAGAATTATGCTATGGGGAAATGCAACTAACAAAGACAAATAATATTATATATTATCTGAAAAATGAAAGGATTGCTTCGAACAATTTATTATACTTTTATTTTAAATATTTTTCAGCTAAGATATATTTCAAATTACTTTGAAAACATACCTCTTTGGGAAATGCAATAAAATATCAATAGATTCCTTCATTTCTTTCGCTTCACTCTTTCCATAGGGTACATTTTCATTGTTTTCATCGACAAATGTGGTTTCAGTTTTCAATTTATTCATCGACAATGGCTTCTTGAGTTTACTAGGGCTGTTTTTACACCTGAGAATATAAACAATAACAGGTGTGAACATACTATATAGTTAGAGAATCTCAAAAACATATCATTCGTTATGATATATCATTATCAGATATATTATATCATTAACAGATAAGCATAATATTGCTTACAGGTAGCTTAGGAGGAGCTTGAGTCTCTATGTTAGTGCATAGAGTACAATTAGCCACTATGTCTGGCGTATGTGGACTATGAGAAAATCTTTGATTCCGTCGAAATTTGGGCGGTACTGCAGTCCCTTCGGCGGTGTCAAGTTAACTGCCGGTTTGTTTCCCTCCGTCGCCTCTTAGGACACCCACGGGTTGATATGGGGTAGTGGATATTCTTACACCGCCACCACATGGTGACACTTCTTTGTTATCAGGCATTATAACCTTCTCCAAAATGAGATTAGGCCTGAGATCAGCTGTAGAACATATATAAGCCTATACACATTTTACTATTGGGCCCAGACTATTAACTTACATTTTCACCCTTTCAACTTTTCTTTACATGATAGAGCCATGCTGCAGCTATTTTAGTAGTATAGTTGTAGCACGAATGCTTCGGCTCGACCAGGGAAGGACCACGCTCTCACAGAATACCAGTGTAAAATAGCAGCTTAACACTGCTGTGTTTCGTATGGTGAGTGTAGAGAACCGGAGACCCTTTTTACTAGAAAAGAGGCATTCCACCTTAGTCTTCACGGGTGAAAACGCATCTGCATTTTTATTCTTTATTGAGGATAGATGTGGATATCTATGGGTCACAGCAACCACTTACCATCAGGTGGGCTGTGCTCGTTTGTCACCCTATCAAAAAAAAAAACAAACATGCCCTTTGAAACATTTTTTTGCCTATGACTTTTAAAACATTTTTTTGTACATTTATTTGTAATAGTTGCTGATACCTGATAATAAGTGGATGCTGTAGCCCATAGACATCTTCATCTATCCTCGATTAAGAATCAATATGATCTGCATATGTGTATTTGACGCCCCAGAGGACTAAGATGGAGTGTCTAATTTCCAGTAAAAAAAAGGTCTCCGGTTCTCTGCACTCACCATACGAAACACAGTAGCATGAGCTGATATTTTACGCTGGTGTGTTGTGAGAGCGTGGTCCTTCCTTGGTCCATTATAGGGCTGCAGGATAGCTCTACCACGTAATTTTTTGGCGTAGAAACCACATGTGTTTCTTTTCTTCTTAATAAAATAAATAGACAGAAACATTAACTTATTAAAACTCACCTGTTATATTCTTTCAAAACATTAACACAATCTTCCATCTCTGTAATATCTATATTCTCTTCAATGGAATTATTATTTTCATTTTTAACACATTTACTTTCACTTTTGCATTTAAATTTATTCACAGATGAGGAATTTCTTAACTTACTCGGACTGTCCTTTAGACCTTTTTTGAATCTAAATAAGAAGAGATAGGATTTTTTATTAATGAATAATACGTTTGAAAGATTGTAACTCATAATCTTACGCCCAACAGATGTCGCTAGTTGGGAATAATAAGTTTAACTTATTTACTATCCAGATGATCACACAGTGTCATCATCATTGACACGTTGCGTTTTAAATAGAAGTTTTTCAGTTTCTAGTGTATGTACATAAACAAAACAGTGCCTCAGTGCATGTATTGTAATTTATTTACATGTTTTAACTTTTTTTTTTATTTCTTCTACTTTTAGGATTATACGTTGTTTGGTTTATTCATTCCTGGTCTAATTAATATAACATATAACTAATATTTTAGAAAGTAATCTTTACACTTTTCACTTATCTCAAATTTCATAATATATGAACAAACAGGGTTGAATGCACTCCGGCACTAAAAAAATTATTATTCGCAATTTTAACAGGATATTGGGTGGCAAGACATTTGAGGAATGGGTTTTTAACAGATTTTTGGTGTTGGGCTGTGCCCAAATGACTGCAACGAATACTGAGGGACAACTGCAGCTCAGACTGATTATAACTCCTTATGAAAAATTGATGATATCATCACCTCGTATTCCCCTGTTTTCTCTTCCAGAACTGGACCGTTTTTTTTTTAAGAAATTTACAAGATGAGTGTGGTTTAATTGTCTATAAGTTTATGTTTTTTTATGTCCGTTAAGTAAATTTGTTTGTTAGATATAAGCGGTAATTTTTTTTTACAACCGACTTCAGTATAAATAAAATGAGAACATCATCAATGTAGTCAAAGTCAATTAAATACGCATTATTGAGGATAACTCAAAAACTACTGGTCAGATCTTGGTCAAATTTATATGGGACCACGTGAGAGGCACCAGTATTCAAATAAAAAAATTATCATTAAAATCGGTTACCTAAAAAAAATTCGAGGTAAAACACATAGAAAAATACAGTCAAATTGAGAACCTCTTCCTTTTTTTGAAGTAGTTTAATAATGGAATGGAAAAATATAAATTATTTTTTTATAAAATGATGAGATGAATATTTCCCGAGTAAATACATAAATTTGTAGTGAAATGTATGAAAATACAGTGAAACAATCTGACATGAAATTAACAAAAAAATGTAAAGAAAATTCTGTTAAAAACACTGTTTTTTAGATCAATATAATAAGAGCAATGATGAGTTATATACTCTCTTGCAAGTCATCTGGCTACGGGTCTAGGGTGGCGCCACTAGAAAGTGAGGTATAATATTTGACAGATTTCATAGCGGAGAAGTTAATTTGTCCGGAAAATGTAAAGGTTATAGTTTCTTTCTATACTATTAGCTATATTTTATATTAATAAGATTAAAAATAAATAAACCAAACCACAGATATTCATAAAAGTAGAAAACTTAAAAAAATGTTAAAAATGTGCACTAAATTAAAGAGCAAACCACTGAGGCATTGTTCTGTGTATTAATATAATAATACTCTAGAAACTGATAAACTTTTATTAAAAACCAACTTCTCAATTAAATTACATTGTGTAACAAAAAACTTTACCAGTGTCAACTAGCGACATCTGGTGAGCAGAAAATTATTAGCCCTCATTGACAGTAAACTATAAAACAAAAATCAAAGACCCAAGTTCCTTGCTGGTTCTTCTATGAGATCTTGTTTTCGAAACCGATGTAACTTTTGATACATAAGAGTTTTACACAAGTGTAAATTGAATTAAAAGTAATTTTAGAAGGTTTATCAGTTTTTTCTAAAATTACCAAAATTGTCGAGTTACACTGCCATTTTTCAATCGCTTACAAATCGTGAACAATCAAATAAACAAAAACGTGAACTTACGCTGCCGATAAATTTATGGGGCCACTAGTTGGCGATGGTAGAATCGTGTCGTCGTTTTCAATTAATTCCTTTTTTATGTTCTGTAACAAAATAAAATTGATGATCGATGATGTCCTCTCGCCTGATCGCGACGACGGCGACATCTACCGGATACTTTGGAAAGCTATCAACTGCGTGGCCGGTATTGTAGTGCTGCGAGTGCGCTACCACAAGGCAATCACTCGTCAAAATGTAACCTTAATATGAGAAGATCTGTGGTGTGTGTGATGAGTAGGTTCCTTCTCCGTCTAGGAATCTTTCTGATTAGGCACCATCTTCTTACTACATTCTGCCGCCTAATTTTGACTACCTCGTTAGTCTAGACGTTGTAAACGCGGTCTCTGATCACGAAGTCCCGGGTTCGAATCCCGGGCCTAGCCAAAATAAGTAATAGGGTTTTTCCGTCAAGATAATCGCAGTAGCAGCCCGAAGTCTGGAAGTTGGTGGTGTTTCACCCCCTTGCCTTGGGAAGCACGTAAAGCCGTTGGTCCTGCGCCTGATCTCTCTCCGGTCGTGGCAAATTACCGACCATAGAGCTTGTGCACCTGTGCTTGCGGATTACACTTCACAGAATACCAGCGTAAAATAACAGCTTAATGCTGCTGTGTTTCTTATGGTGAGTTTATGGGCCACAGTATCCACTTACCATCAGGTGGACTGTGTTCTCGAAAAAAACTTGGCCACTAAAATCCTATCCTGCATAGACGACTAGTCTCCAATGATACTGCCGCCGTGAGTAAAATTCGGTCTGAAGGACATTATTATTTTGCAAGCAGCAGCGCCTACATTATGTTCTGGTCTTAAAAGTATAACGAGACAGTATGGTCTTAAAAGTATAACGAGACAGTATTACGGGCTGGGAAGCATTCCATCTTTGTCCTCAGAGGTGATAACGCATGTGTAACCTCTTCCTTGTTTGAAGTGCAAGTGTCTTTCTAGTGGTAAAAGTAAAAAATGACTTTCAATAAGAATTACATGTAATCTATATAAAAAAAAAATTATTATATTCTATTCTATTGGCTTCAGTAGTCAGTTACCATCAGTTAGACTGTAAGTAAGTTTATCACTTCATTTTTATATAAAAAAACAGTCACAAACAAACAGTCAAAATTGTGATGTCATGCTTTCACTTGGAAAGATCATGCGTCATAATATGCATGACCAAAAGTGCGATTTCGAAAAATAAATTTGCATGGATTACAACAATCTATATAAACTTTGAAAACAAAACAGTATAATATAATGCAAAATTACAAATTACAACCAAATTGTTAGAGCCGTTTTCTAGAAATATCCAGGCACTTAAAGACTATTTTATACTAGCAATAAGTTGCAGCGTTGGGAGCCGCGGGTTCGAATCTCGCACAGAACAAGTATTTGTATGGCCTACAAATAATTGTTCCGGGTCTGTTTGTCCTTGTGAAATTTATGTATGTAAACTGCCTCCATCGTAGAGGAGAAAATCATAGTGTGAAGTTTTAAAAAATAAAATGTGTTTAAAAAGATACCTGCAAGTTACTATCACTTTGGAAATTTCCAAGCTCTCCCAACACATCAGGTGAAATTGTCAGATCCACAATGTTTGTAGATTTGACCTTAACGAGGTTCAGGCGACTCTGTCTCAGTCTGCCACTGGACTTGCATTTAGATGGTGGAAAAGTCAGCTTTACGATCTTATTCTCCGGCGTTGGCCTGAAATTAAAATTACCATTACAGCATATCAAAAGTCCACCGCTGGACATAAGCCCTCCCCCACATATTGATACAAAGGGGGAATATTTGCATTACTTTATTATTTTTAATACAGCTACTGTCAGGAAGATGCTGCTGCCCATCTCCTCGTTCAGTTTCCCTCTCTCGCCTCTTATGACACCCACGGGATGATACAAATAAATTTAGCGATCGGCTCCGGCTTCGCACGAGTGATTTCTAGATCTTGACAACAGCGTCACCTACCGGGTCCAATTGTAAATTTAAATCATCCAGGGACCCACACAAACACACAAAAAAATTCATCGAAATCGGTCCAGCCGTTTAGAAGTTCTCTGACAAACACACGTAGAGTACAGTAGAATTATATATTAAATATTTTGGGAGAACAAAAGTAAGAATACAATTTTTTTATTGTAAACAAAAAAAAACCTTAAACTAAGGGTTCAATATATTCCTTCATCAGCCCGTGAAAGTTCATCGCTGGAAATTAAATTAAATGTAATGAAGATTTATTTGCTTTGAAAAAGGCGTACATTTAGGTGGTTATTATGAAGTGAAGTTCAGCTTTTTCAGCCATCTATAATAGCATGCAAATACATTTTTTATAATTAAGTCTACTTTATTAAAATATAACATTCAATTAAAATATTTATCGGCATGTCATAGTTTACAAATTACCAATACATACAAATTTAAATATAATTAAGATTAAAATTCAATTAAAAATATATAACTACTGTTGTGTCACATTACGGACATGAGCTTCTCCCGTTGGAGGTTTTGCGTCATCGCATAATCGTCTCGCGTCTTTGTCGCTACTGCTCGTCACCAGTCTGGATATTTTACGTATGGGGTAAACGAGATAGTTTACTATACCACATATTGGCATTTCTCATAGTCACCTCTTACAGAGCCCAAGGGACGGAATGGGATGATGGGCTCTCTTTAAGACACTCCCATACACCCAGGGTAGGGTATAATAAGCGAACTTGTGGCATCCTCTTCTGAACAAAAACGAAACAGTATATAATAGCCTAGTCGTCCAGACTATTATCGAAGGAAGCAGATAAAAGTATCAGGCATAAACATCTAAAAAAAAAAACCATGATACTTGAAAATATCTAAGTAATTGCCCTTGTATAAAACTCAATATATAGATAGCTATTGTCAGAATTGATGTAAAAAAAATTGTATCTCTAAATGCCCAGAACTTACCAAGAATCGGGAAGTCTCTTTTTTTCTTGTACCTTACAACTTTCTGTAGTTACAGCGGAATTTTTTAATTTTTTGCTATGTATAATTGGACTCTTTCTACCCGAGGGAGTACCTTCAATTTCTGACACTGAAGTATCTCTATGGCTTAAATTAGCAAACGAATTTTCTTGATCACCTTTGAGATTGTTAGAAGATTCCTTTTTAAGCATATCATCATTGGAAGTTGGTGGTGTCAATAGTAACTGGTCTTCAAAAATAATCTGAAGAGCATCACTTATGATAGCAAAATTCTTTGTCTCATTTAACTTCATTAATATAGCTCCTATAAATGAAAACAAATTGATATTGAATAATACATATAAATTAAGAATGCTATATTATTACGTGGTAGAGCCATGCTGCAGCTATATTACTGGTATAGTTGTAGCACGAATGGGTCGGCTCGACCGGGGAAGGGATATGCTCCCACAGAATACCAGCTTAACCCATTCGTTGCGGTGCACGCACAACGGCATAATTTGTCATTCTTAGGCGGATTACACCAATCGGCGTAAATTATATTTTAGCCACAACTTGGCCAATTTCTATTTTAAAGGGATATACCTTTTATATGTGCATATTTTACATACATACAACATCATTATAGTTTCCGTTTCTGTAAATAATGATTTTAGAAAAATAACAAAACTATCCTCAGGCACGGAAAACGCCGAACGGCGTCTTCCAGAGGTTATCAACATTGAAAACATTTGGATTAAATATTTATATATTATTTATTGTAGCTAGGTATTTTATTTTATAGAATTAAAAAACAGTAATAGGTTCACACTATGAGCAACCTTAATTTTAAAGTTGATAGTTAAACATTTTGCTGCGTTAATATGATTCGTTAGTTTTTTTTATATATTCTTCATCATCTCTAGTGTTAAAAAGAAAAAAGAGCATGCAGAAAATTAAAACGCAACGGCTTATTAATAAAATCCAACATCTTGGATTGTTAAAACCGTTCATATAGGTAATCATTGTTTCGCATACTTGTGAGAGTAGGTACTTAAACAAAACTACAACTACGTAAGTGTTCATAATACTTATTTAATAATATCAACAATCATAAACAACATGTAGGCTCACAGCGTACCTATGCCACAAACATTATTCCGAGTCTTCATAGTTGGGTAAACTAATGTCGTCCACATCCTTTTGGTGACGTACTTTTCTCGCAAGATTTATTATATTAACATATGTTACAGATCTTTTTTTCATTGGAACAAGATGTAATTCGTAAGCGATCAGTTGAGCAAACGCTTTGTTTCGGTGGTCACTTGGTTCCCCGTTTTCAAAATTCAAAATCGGGTAATTGTGATACGTCACATTTATACTCATTAGAATCGAAAATTTTGTGTTTATATAAATTTGCATCCTGAATGTCCTGTGACGATACCTGTCTCTTTATTTTGTCTAGATGTGACTTTTTTCGCATCAGCATTATCAACATGATAATGTTGATCATCACGTGACTTTCTTTTTAGCAAACCAAATTGTCTCACACCGTCACTCAATACATTGGGTGACGATGGTCGAGCCTCACCTTCAAGAGAAAGTCATTATTAATTATAATAATTTCTTATATTTACGCGAACACTACACATTTAAATAAAACTAATTTTACGGATTTTATCGCGTATATTAACTTATTTTACATTCCCGACGTTTCAAGCACTTTACAGCACCCATGTCACGGGAGGGGGGACTGAGGTGTATGACGTCCCAATGTCATAGTTAACCACGGCTACCTCCAGATTAAAAATTATTATTAATTATTAAGTGAAACAACTTACGATGCACTAGAAATAGTATGTAAGTGAAAACCCCTCCCTTCCTTTCAACTACTAATTAAAAACACTACTTATTATACTTAATACATTTAAAATAGTAGACTAAATACTATTATTAAAAGTATTTTTAAATTTAAAAAATCGGAATAAAGGTTTGCAATCCCTGGTCATATTTCAATAATATTAAAAATATTAATATAAAAACCAATTTCGTTATTCAAAGTGTAATTAGAAATCTTTCTATAACGTGGAAAATATCCCTTACTATACTGATAGAATAGAAACAAATTCACTCACTATTTCCAGCCATATTTATGGTAAATAGGAAATCGCTAGTATTTTTAACAAAACTTCACTGTTTTAATCAGAAAATAACTTATTATATACAAATTAACTTGGCCATTGAGTACGCAGTCACTTGACATGGCGTAGACTGATAAGCGTCTATAAAGTTCTGTCTAAACAAGCAAGAATCATTTTCATGTGCGGAAAACGCCAATAGGTGTCAAAATGTTTAAATATGAGATGCATCCGACGCCTATCGGAGTTAGTTCTTTAAACCGCCCGCCGCTGCGTAATAAAGGCGATTTTACGAAGCCGCCTTGAATGGGTTAACGCTGCTATATATGTTTCTTGCTATGTTTGCTATGCTATGCACCATACGAAACACAGCAGTGTTAAGCTGCTATTTTACGCTGGTATTCTGTGAAAGCGTGATCCTTCCCTGGTCGAGCCAACCCATTCGTGCTACAATTATACCAGTAATATAGCTGCAGCATGGCTCTACCAAGTATAATATAACGTGAATAGATTTATGTTAAGTCCTCCTTAAACACACACTAACACAATGTATTGAAATTTATATCTCTCTTATTTGATCAGCTTGAAAGGTTCTCAAATATGAAAGAGTTATATATATACCGATATTTTAGTCATTTCAAATCAGATAATGTAAAAAAAACAAAGCCACATTAAATGTGAGAACTTACCTATAGACTGAATAATGTTATCCTTTTTTGCAATCATCTCTTTAAATGCCTCGGAACTAGTACAAGTTTTGCTGTAACATGAAAATTCACATTCGAGAAACATTTTTGACTTGAGTGTGTGTAGACCACCCCACCCACTCCTACCCTCTCTTCCCACACACGCACACGCATATTCTTGCTAAGGAGAACACATCAAATAGATCACGGAATTTCCCAAACAATTTCCAGTCTTATCGTGATTGATTTAATAACCTTGACTTGCGACTGTGCTGACGTTATTGGGGCTACAGATGTGCGACAAGTGGTGACAATAATAGGTGGACCTAGTTTGGAAAAACCTCTGTTCTGGGAAGAACTAGCAAAAAAACCCAGTGTCACCTTTTTCAAAGTAACCATTTTACAAAGAAATAAACCTAGCAAGCTAACAGCATAGCAAAGTGGCGAAGCAATCAGCTTTGTAGCGGTTTCTAACGGTTGCCGTTGAGCAATCAGTTTCAAAATAGGAGGTTCAGATGCCTGGGTGATCAGTAATCGATTGCTGAAAACAGAATTTGAAAATTCAAAACCGTTCTCGAGATAATCGTGGGACAGACGGACAGACATCGTGAAATCAATAAGTGACTTCGCAAGCTTCGCCACTTAATAATAAAAAATTATAGTGACTAAAGGTGCATCAGTCAAAGTATCAAACGCTGAATAGATAACTCAGCGACGGCATTTAGACAACAATAGGTCACAAAATTCATCAGGTAAATGGCATACCCTTTACACTTTATATGGCACCAATTTTCTCCGCTAGATGTAAATATTAAATTCTTGGCCGTATTTGAAAAGAAGTTATACAAAAAAAAAACGTGCGTGAGTGTCGTGGAACACTCAATAAAAGAAGTTCCTTTCGTAGTATATTGTTATTGATAAACGTATTATATTATTGATTAACAAATACAAATAAATACGTAGGTACCTAATTTATGTTATGCCATAAAAAGCAAAAATATCTAAATAATAAGCACTATATTATTATATATCTATAAAGATAATTAATTTCTACACATTGTTTACAATACAATTAAATATCCAACAACATCATTCCAGAGAACTCCTTCCATTCAAATCTCCTCTTGTTCAGGATACACAGTCTATAATGACCTAGACGATCAAGAATATTGCTCTTTGCAGAGCTAACTCTTTTATAACATTAATGTTTAAGTTATGATAAATGTTAATTACAAAGATAATAACTGCCATTGTCGGTCCCAAGCCCGGATGAGAAAAGAGGAGGGGTGGTTCCGCCGGAGAGAGTGGGTGTATCCGGTGGACTAACCACACCCACCTGCGCTAGGACTTGCGCAGTCGAGCGCCGTACGCGTGGTTCAAGGAGTCCTGGAGGGTTGAGCCGATCGTCCCTGGGGTATATAGTGGCGAGAGGCAACATGCCCTCTTTGGTCCGGATTTCAAGCTAAACGGTGGCCCTATGTACAGATAGGGAAATGGCCAAGCGCCCCGTCAGAGGGTCGTGGGAGCTGTCTAGTTTTTCTGAAAAAGGGCTAGGTGGTGGTAAAGGCCGTGCTGACGGAGCAAGTGAGTCTATTCGGGTAGTGAGGATGGGCCTATCTACCAGCTGGATCGAGCTCCCGATGTCGCGCTGTGAGTCAACTTCGCGTCCTTATATTCCCCCGGTAATCGTAACGGCTAAAAATATTTTTTGAAGTAGGGCGTTCCCAAAGGTAACACAAAAATAAATCTGGACAATTTAAGGCCCATTAGGAAAGAAGGAAAGGTGTCAGATGTGCTTACCAAAGAGACCAATGAACAAGGAGGAACCGCCATTAAACCGACGGTTCCACGGACTGTACCATCCAGCGTAGGTGGCCCCACCAAGGGGATAACTTCCACGCTGGATGTTCCCAAAACCAGTTCCAAACCTAGAACTGGACGCGAAAAAGGAGCAAGGGCCCGCGAGTAGCGAAACTCCTGCGAAGCCCCAGAGAACGGACGACCTTTTCTCTACTGCCTGGCAAGTGGTGAGCCGTAAGAGGAAGGGCAAGGCACCCAAAAAGGTGACTTGCCGACCTAACGCACCATCAGGAAGGTTTATCCCTGCAGGCAGTAGTGTAAAGGCCAAGAAGAAGGAACCGCGCTAGCTGCACCTAAAACCAATACCAAGGAGGCTGGGCAAGCAACTGCGACCAAGGTGCTTGGAGTTGGAACCAGTAGCCGCGCTTAAACCGGGAAGGATAAAAATCCAGCCATACATACAGGATAGAAGTCGCGGCCGCGGGGACCAGCTCTAAGATATCCGTCAGGAAGCAACGAGCGGCCAAGCGTCCTGGGAAGAAGGAAAGAACAGCCAAAAGGATGCTGGAAGTGTTCACCTCGTCGAGAGGCGAGCACAAAAAAGTGCGACTCGAACAGCAACCAAAGGCTGCAAGAACCAGCTACGCTTCCGCTGCTAAAGCAGATTTGGGTGAGGCCTTAACGTGTGCGCGTTCAGGTCACATAACGAAGGAAATAGCTGACGATATCCTCGTGGCAGTACAGAGGAAAATGATCAGTGAGGCCTGGAGTAGCCGGGACGCTGATGCGTCGGGTCCAGTTTTTAGTGGCAAACCCGGAGGGTGTTCTAAAGCTGTGGTGTGACGATCAGAAGGCTCTGAATTGGTTGAAGTAGAATATTGCTACCCTCGACCTTAAATCCAACACCTCGCTGATCATAAAGAAACAGAGATACCACAAAGAGTCAAATATGGTATCCTTATCCCTGATGCCCAGGGAGCCTGGAAAGACTCACGCGTTATCGGTCGTGCGCTGGCGTACCAGGACCGCTGGCGTACCAGACCATCAGAGACTGGCTGCTACTCAAGGCAGATAAGCAGACGGACGGGTGGTTCGTTGTTTCGGTGCCGGAGGATCATATCCCGACCCTGATGAATGTCTCGTATGTGTATGTGGGACGGTATACGTAATACTCAAGGGTTGTGTAGGCAAATTCTGTGATACTCCACCAAGCAAAGAGTCAGATAACAATCCGGAAGTCATGGATACGGGGGCCATGGTTACCAGTACAGCGGAATCACTGGATGCCAAGTCCAGTGAAAAAACGGCCTGCACAACTGAGCCGAAGCCCCCAGTAGAGATCGGGCTCAGCGGCAGCTCACTGAGTAACGAAGAGGACTGCATTTTGCCGACCACGTCCGACTCGGTAGCTGATGTTGAAACCCAAGATCTGCTGGCAGGCTTATTCTTGGGCGGCGATGGGGAGGACGCGATCAATGATGGCGTGCCCTTCGTCCAGAACTAGCCTAGTGCAGTTTAACCTCCACCACAGCGAAACTGCGTCGGCGCAATTACGCAAGTGGTTAGAGGCTGAAAGGACAGCCATAGACTTAATCCTGGAGCCGTGGGTTGGGACTGGTAAAATCAAAGGCCTACACAACCTAAACGGAAAGCTATTCTACAGCTCTGAACACGACAAACCTAAAGCGTGTATTTACACTACTAAACCTAAAGATATCTGTGCACAACCATTAACAGATTTCTATTCCAGAGACAAGTATGCCGTGGCAATACAATATACACAGGAGGGAAGATTAGTCATCGCCTCGGTCTACATGCCGGAGGAAGACGAGGACCGGACTAGAGGTTGTGATCGGGACGGACTCCAACGCGCATCATCCCCTCTGGGGAATGGAAATACTGAACGAACGAGGTAAGGTGTTAGCTGAATATCTATTTAGCACTAACCTAACCATTTTAAACACAGGTTCTGAACCAACTTTCATAAACAAACATTGTCGCACAATAATCGACTTCACACTTGCAACAGAAGGAGCAGCCAAACTAATTACGGGATGGCATGTGTCGAAAGAGGCCTCATGCTCAGATCATGGATGGATCTGCTTCGCACTACAGGTCGATATCCCCGCTACACCACCATGGAGAAATCCCCGCAAGACGGATAAAACAAAATACCTTAATAGACTCACGTGTTCGCTCGCGGGTTTTGAGGGGACAAATACTATAGCAGATCAGTCGCTCCTAGAAGAACAGGTAGCAACTGTTACTTAAGCCATGATGGACAGCTACCATGAATCATGTCTAGAAATCACTTTACCAAGGCATGCTGAGATAAAGCAACCGTGGTGTGGTAAAGAACTAGATAGAAAACGTAAGAAGGTAAGAAAAGCCCTAAATAGGGCCATGAATACCTCAATGGATGAAGACTGGCTACTATACAAGAAAGCTAAGTCCGAATACAAAAAATGTATCAGGTATCGACGCTCGATAGGGTGGCGTAAATTCTGTGGCAACAAACAGAAAGTCAGACTTGTTGGCATAATGAGAGCCTGTCTGTCTCATAAATATATTCCTAGGTGATGGAGGGAAGTGAGAGTCATACCAACAACATTCATACCAAAACCTGGTAAGAGCGACTACACAGACCCCAAATCCTGCAGACCCATTAGTCTCACATCCTTTCTCCTATGGTCGATGGAGAGGATGTGTGAAAGGGAATTAAGAGGGTCGGCGCTAATGAACTTACCACTACACGACAAGCAACACGCCTGCAGTCTAGGCAAATCAACAGAATTAGCACTTCACCAGGTAATAACAAAGATTGAAGAGGCCATTAAAAAAAATTTATATGTCTAGGTTCCTTCATAGATATAGAAGGTGCTTTTGACAGAACAAACTTCTCCTGCATAAAAGGTGCCCTCAGTAGACATAAAGTTGAATCGGCACTGATTGACTGGTTAGTAAACATACTCAGTACACGAACAATAAAGATTGCTGGTGAATCTCAAACAATCCAGATTAAGATAGGCTGGCCCGCAGGGTGGGGTTCTTTCACCTCTCCTGTGGAATATAGTCATTAATGAACTCATCAGCAAATTAAATGCCAATCACTTCTACACAGTAGGTAATGCTGATGACCTGACAATACTGGTCTCGGGAAAGACAGCAAGCATGGTGTGCGACCTGACCCCAATGGCTCTCTATATAGTGGAGAGATGGTGCAGGGAATACTTAACCATTAATCCAAATAAAACGGTCCTAGTAATGTTCACAC